CCATTCCCCACCCTCTGAGCCAGCGAGTCCACGCCCTGGGGCTGGATTTGAGCCAGCACCCCCCAGAGGGGAGAGACCTCCTGCCCCATTGCCTGCCCCCCTGAGCCTGCCAGTCCCTGGACTGCAGCTGGATGGGAGCTGAACAAGGGATATAACGAAAAACCACTTAAAATCTGGGTACCTGCTAGTGCCCCCCGGCTGGGGGAGGACACCCCCCAAATACCAGCCACTATCCCCCCACCTCCAATAGAGCAGCAGGCATAGTGGCCCCTGGCCCCCAGAGACAGAGTCTGGGGGAACCTCTGCAGAACCCAGGAGTCCGGGGGAGAATCCCTGCTATCCCCCCCACTCAGGTTTCAGTGGCCACCCCTGGGTATTGGGGTGTGGCCATGGGGTGTCAGGGCCCTATAGTGGAGTAGGCGGATTGATGGATGGTTGATAGGTGTCAGTAGCATCTGGCTGGGTGCTCAGTTCTCCCTACTGCCCGTTCTCAGAGCCAGGTCCCAAGGGTCCTGAGCCCTCGCTGGGTCCCCTCCAGCGCCGGCCCCCAGATGCGGGCTGGATGCCTGAACACAGCCCATGGCCCTTCGCTGGGAATTCACCAGCCCTCGTAACCCTCCCCTGAGGCCAGCCGGGAGCCCTCACCCCATGGGGCAGATGGGGAAACTGAGGCACTGAGAATGGATTTGTCGACAGCTGTAGCAGAAATGGGCTGAGAACCCAGGAGTCCTGTCCCCCCCCCCACTATACCTCACTCAAACCACTAGACCCCACTCACCTCCCAGAGCCAGGGAGAGAACCCAGGAGTCCTGGCTTCCAGCCCCCCATCCGCTTCTCTTTCCCCCCTTTCTCTCCTAGCCCCCCTCCCTTCCCCACACCGTGGGCAGGAACCCTGCCCACCCCCACCCCCTGCGGCAGGTTCCCCTTGGCTGCAGCTGGTTGGCAGTGAGTTCATTTCATTTCCCAGCCTCAGTGATACACTCAGGGCCCCTGAGGACAGCGTGTGAGAGGGACGCCCCATCCGGCCCTGGGCGGGGACTGGCTGGCTCAGGGGGGCGGGGAATGGGGCACGGGGCCTGTCTCCTCTAGGGGGCGCCGGCTCCCATCCGGCCCTGGGCAGGGACTGGCTGGCTCAGGGGGGCGGGGAATGGGGCACGGGGCCTGTCTCCTCTAGGGGGCACCGGCTTCTGTGACAGCTTCCATCCGGCCCCAGGGCAGGGACTGGCTGGCTCGGGGGGGGGGGGGGGGGGGCGCGGGGCCTTTCCCCTCCAGGGGGCGCCAGCTCCCATCTTGCCCCAGGGCAGGGACTGGCTGGCTCAGGGGGGCGGGGAATGGAGCACAGGGCCTTTCCCCTCCAGGGGGCGCCAGCTCCCACCCGGCCCCAGAGCGGGGACTGGCTGGCTCAGGGGGGCGGGGAATGGGGCATGGGGCCTTTCCCCTCTAGGGGGCGCCGGCTCCCATCCAGCAGTGTTGTTCCCATTCTGTGGCCTTCACACTGGGTCTCAGGACCACGCCCAGGCGTCCCCGCCTCCCCCCCCCCGGGCATGACAGCCCCTGGTGCCACCCATCCCCCCTTCCACCCCAAGAAAGAGGCCCAGCCCCAGAGGCCCCTTCTGCCCCTTGCTGGGGTGCATTGGTGGAGGGTGGGGCTGTGTATGTTGCTGTGTGTACATGCTGTGTGTGTGGGGGGGGGGGGCCCCCCGGCCCCCCCCCCCCCCCGGCACACACAGAGTCGTGGGGGGGGGAGCCCTCCCCCGGGGTTTCTGGCCGTCCCGGTGTTTACGAGCGGCTGGTTCCTGGCAGAGGCGAGATGCCGGTAAGGCCGCCGGCTTCCTAGCAGCCGTTAGCAGAGGCGCCCGGCAGAATGCTAAACAGCAATCACAACAAAGGCCGTGCGCCGGGAGGGGGGAGGGCAGGGGGGGCTGCCGGTTGCTCCCCTAAGCCCCCCCATTGCCATCCCCGCCCCTGCAAGGGCCAAAGTGTGGGGAGGGACTGCCAGGGGGGATGTCAGTGTGTGTGTGTGTGTGTGTGTCCCAGACGCCCCCTATTGGAGGCAACCAGGACTGCCCCGCTCTGTGTCGTAGCCCCCACACTGCTCCCAGATAGCGGGGATCCCCCGGTCGGCCCAGCGGCATGGCCTGGGGCCCCGGCGGGGAAGCGCCAGGCGGGAGGGGAGGCTGGAGTGCCAGGTTACACTGCTTCCGGGGTGGTCGTTCTCTTCTCTCCAGCCCGTGCCGCTCGGCCAGCTCTGTCCCCGGGCCTGCCCGGCTCGCGGCCATCGACTCTCTGGGTGGAACAGCTGTCGCACCCCTCCCCAGAGGGTTCGCATCCCAGTGCTGGGTGAGGGGTCCCTGGATACCAGCCCCCGCGCCCCAGCCCAGAGCGATCCCATCTCCCCCAGGTGTAACACACACTCCCAGCGCGGGTACAGGGGGGCTGCAGGGTGCCCGGGGGCGCTGGTTTGTGGTTCTGTGTTTATTACAAATCTGGAGATTAACAGGATGCAAAATAACACAAACAGCCGCCTCGGCGTGTCCCCTCCCCCTCCTGGTGCTGAGCCCCCCTGGCCCCCACCCGTGGGGCTGGGTGGGGCAGCACCAGCTGGTGGGAGGGCTATAGGGGTGCTATAAGTCGAGCCCATTCTCTGGGGGGGGGGGGAAATCATGCTGTCACCCCCTGGTGACCGACACTCCCTGCCCCGTCGCTCCGATGACTCCCCCTGGGTTCACGCCATGGGGGTGGATGGGGGGCGCCCCTGCACCCCGGGGGCTCTACCCATTGGGCCCCTGGCTCACGTTGATGGTGGCGTACAGGGCAGGCTCGGGGGCAGGGGCCGGGCCCCCCCGCTTGGCCTGCAGCGCCTGGCCGTCCAGCTCGGCGTAGGTGAGTCCCTCGGCGCCGGGGTTGGGCTCCTGGGGCTGGGAGGGGAGAGAGACACCGGGTGGGTGGGTGTGTGTGTGTGTGTGTGTGTGTGTGTGCGCCAACACCAACACACACACCAGACAGTTCTGATCCCAGACACCAGGGGGCAGCGATGCCCCCCAAACCCCACCCCATGCACAGTTGCTCTGACACGCTCTGTCCTGTCCAGCAGGGGTCTCTGGAGAGCTGCTCTTCCCCCCAGCAGGGAATCCAGCAACACCCCCCCCCCCAGCCCACAGAGCCCCCTGGGGCAGTCCACTGACCCTCTGCATATCACAGACAAATGCGAACGTTTGAGGGGGGTCAAGGTGAGTTGGGGGGTGCAGGGTCAGACTTATTCTCTGTGTTCTGTCTCTTCTGCCCCTCTCAGGGGATTCCCCGTTGCTGATCCCCAGCTCCGGTGTCTGCCCTGAGGGGGTATGGGGGGCCCAGGCAGAGTTGGGGGGGCCGACATCTGAACATGGCTCTAGTGGGACCTGTGCAGGGCCGGATGGCGGGGGGTGGGGGGGTGGGGGGGAGTGGATGTTGGATGGTGCACTGGTGCTGGGGTGTGTGTGTCGAGGAGTCGGGGGCACTTACCAGGACATCCAGCTGCTTCCCTTCACCCATGAGGGCGTCTGTGGAATAGAGACACCCACCAGTGAGCGGCTGGGCCCAGATCAGGGCCCCAGGCCCAGGCCCCCATCCCACATCTGAGCCATTCGCAGACTGGCTCGCCTGCCCCCCGGCATACTGGGGTGGGGCAGGGTCACAAGTCCCATGGTGCAGCGGGGGAAACTGAGGCACAAAGGGGGGCGGGGCGCCCCCAAAGGCACACAGTGAATCAAGGCTGCACCCCAAATCAGCATGCCTCCCCACACAGGATGTGGCCCCTGCCAGGGGCACCCGCCCCTCCTCCCTGCTCCATGGCTGCCCCCTCATGTGTGACTTACAGACTGTGGCTGCAGCCTCGGACTCCCTACGGGGAGAAAGAGAGAAAGATAGTAACAGAATCCAGGAATCCTGGCTCCTAGCCCCCACATCTATCCATTAGGCCTCACTCCCCTCCCAGAGCCAGGGAGAGAACCCAGGAGTCCTGGCTCCCAGCCAACTCCAATCTGATCATTAGACCCCACTCCCCTCCCAGAGCTAGGGAGAGAACCCAGGAGTTCTGCCTCCCAGCCCTCTTGATCTAACCATTAGATCCTAGTCGCCTCTCTGAGCCGGGGAGAGAACCCAGGAGTCCTGTGTCCTGGGACAGGTAGATCAGGGGTGGGGAGCGGAGCTGGGGTCTCACCTGCTCTTTCTCAGGGCTGGTCCTTTCCCTGCGGAGACACAAAGCAGAATCATCCATGAGTCAACCCGGATCCCGTGTACCAGCCCTGCCCCTCAGCCCTACAGGGCATCTGGGATGGGGGGCCCAGGAGAGAGCCCCCCCCACTGCTCTGCCTGGGGAGTACCTCACCCTCTAGCAGCTGAGCCTGGATACCCTAGAGACAGATTGAGCCCAGCTCCCTGCACCATAGCACCCCCTAGTGAGCCCTTTGCCCCACCCCCTGCAGCACCGTGCCCCCTGCTGAGCCTATACCCTTGGCAGCACAGCGCCCCCTAGTGCTGCCCAGGGGCTTTGGGGCCAGCTCTCACTGCCAGGGGAGAGCGCCCCCTGCTGGGCCCCTGCCCCACCCCCTGGGTTTCCTTCCTTGTCTCCCATCCAAGCCATGACCCCTTCCCAGCCCGGATTAGTGGTGGGTTTAACCCTTCCCTCGCTGGGCGGGGCACTCACTTCCTCGGGTTCTTCTGTAGCAGACGAAGGCCAGGAGGAGGAGGAGGAGGAGGAGGAGGCCGGCGGACGCTGCGCTCACCCCGGCGATGATGGGGCGGGTCAGAACCGGTGCTGCACTTGGTACCGATCCACCTGGGAAGCAGCACCAGGCCGTGAGCAGCTGGTTCGTTACCAGCTGCCCCAGCCCCTCCCCCTCGAGGACCCAGGGACCCACAGCAGAACATT